GGGGGGTGTGCTCCTGCCAAAACCCGCCTCGCCATAACCAGGCGCTCGGTTGCAACTTAAAGGGCTTCCAGCCACCGCCGCCGCTTCGCCGGGCGGGGATGCACGCAGGCAGGTCGTGCAGGGGAGGGGGGGGGGGGGAAAAAAAAAAAGGCAAAAAACCCCCCCAACCCCAAACCCTCCTCCTTTCGCCTGCAAAAGCGCAGTATTAATAAAACCGCTCGAAAACGCAGTTTCGCGACATTATCGCGGCAGCCCCCCGAGCTCCCCGCCTTTCATCTAAAACTAGATGATGATGATTGTGTCATTTGAGGTCAATACATTTATTCACTGGAGGAATCGCTACGCAAAACTGGTTTTATAACCAGACTGGATGGAAGGTTCCCCCGTTAAAAGGGGGCCTCTGAAACTCCCCCACCACACCACAGGAAAATAAAATTCGGTATTAACATTCGTTTCGAAAGCCTTGCAGCTGCAGGATTAGCTATAAACTTGACATTCACTGCCATTTCCTAAAACTGGGAGTCAAATGAGATATGTTATGACCACTTACGTATTTCTTTTGAATTATATTCCTCTTGGGTCTTTCTTTGCTCATTCTGGTATCCAAATTCTGATTGCAAAAGGGGACAATTGCTTCATGAATTAAAGCCGCGACAATTTAAAAAAAAAAAAAATACCGAAAAAAATCCTGGGGGGAGGGGGTTGTTTGTAGTGGTATCTTGTAATCCGACTTTCTTTCCTCACAATGTGATTCTCCTAGCAATAAATCCGAGAAATGGGGGACGGGAAAAAAAAAAAAAAAAAAAAAAAAAGAAAAAAAAAGACGAATGCGAAGGAAACAACAACAACAACAAAAAAAAAACAAAATTCACTTTAGTGAAACATTGCAATGGAAAATTTCCCCCTAAACACAAAAAAAAAACGACGCCCTTGATATCCCCTTTTCTCTTTCTCAAGCCGCCTAAGCGATCTGCAGGTCCTTAGTGTCAGAGCTGTAGTTACATCTTGGAGGAGGAAAAAGGGGCCGAAAGGAGAAGATAAATAATCGGAACGCTGGAAGTCACGTTTGTGCCGCTGCAGCAGGGAAAGCGGCAGAGACAACTCCAAGCAGCGGCAGCGGCGGCGGCGGCGGCGGCTCC